AACACCTCCCTCTTCTCCCTCCCGCCAACACCTCCTACTCATCCCTCCCACCCCCCCCCCCCTCTTCCTCCCTCCCCAAACACTCCCTCTCATCTCCTCTCTTCTCCCTGCCCCAACCCTCCGTCTCATCTCCCCTCTTCTCCCTCCCGCCAGACCTCCCTCTCATTCCCTCCGTTCTCCTCCCTCCAAACACCATCCCTCTCATCTCCTCTTCTCCTCCCCCAACACCTCCCTCTCATCTCCCTCGTTCTCCCTCCCCAACAACTGCCTCTCATCTCCCTCTTCTTCCCTCCGCTCCAACACTCCTCTTCATCTCCCTCTTCTCACTCTCCCCCAACACCTTCCCTCTTCTCCTCCCCCATCACTCCTCTCACCTCCCTCTTCTCCTCCCCCAACAACCTCCCTCTTCTCCCTCCCCCAACACCTCCCTCTTCTCCCTCCTCCCAACACCTCCCTCTCATCTCCCTCTTTCCCTCCCCAACCCCCTGCCCTCTATCATTCCTCCTTCTCCCTCCCGCCAACACCTCACTCTCATCTCGCCTCTTCTCCCGTCCACCAACACCTCCCTCTTCTCCCTCCCCAACACCTCCCTCTCATCTCCCTCTTCTTCCCTCCCCCACCTCCCTCCTCAGTCTCCCTCTTCTCCCTCCCCCCAAACACCTCCCTTCTCATCTCCTCTTCTCTCGCCCCAACCCTCCTCTCATCTCTCCTCTTCTTTCCTCTCCCAACATCCCTCCTCCATTCCTCTTCTCCTCTCCTCCCACACCTCCCTCTCATCTCCTCTTCTCCCTCCCCCAACCACCTCCTGCCTCCCCAACACTCCCTCATCTCCCTCTTCTCTCCCCCAACACTCCCTCTCATCTCCCTTCTTCTCCCTCCCCCAACAGCTCCTCTCATCTCGCTCATCTCCCTCTTTCTCCCTCCCAACACCTTCCCTCTCATCTCCTCTCTCACCCTGTCCGTTCCAGTGGTTCACGAGATGGAGGAGCGGGAACTGGCTTGAGGCGATGGAGGCCGTGGGCGCCGGCGACGAGTACCGCCCCCTGATCGCGTCCCAACTGGCTCTCAAGCTTCGCGACCTCGAACTCCTCGACCAGGAGCGCGCCCAGGGATCTCGCCCGCTCGATGAGAATTAGTCAAGCCGGTAATTCGGCTTCGGAGGGTGGAAAGGAAGGCGAGGCAGGCGGGGAAAAAAGGAAGGAGGAACGAAGGAGGCTGCAGCAGCGAGGGAATGAGAGGTTATATTTTAGGCCAACTTCACTCGCGCGATTTTTTTCCTTACGTTTGCGCCAGATTATACATTATTTATACATATATATAACATTAAACATTAATTATGGTAATGATTGTTATAATAAATGTTATTATTATTATTATTTTTATTATTTGTTATTTATTATTTCATTATTATCATTACTACTGTCTCCATTGCCATTAATATAATTGTCATTATCATCATTAACATTGTTTTGATTATCATAATCATTGTTAATGCACTTTTAGAAAATAATACAATTATAAATACAAGGTACTTTAGGGGCAAAAAATAATAGAAATGATACGAAAATGTATTATGATAATCAAATTTTATATACAATTCATAATCAAATCATTGCGTTTATGAAAGGCAGAAAGTTTTAGATGTTCATTCTATCGTATCGCCCTTACTACACCTTTTTCGATAAATGTTTTTGATAATTCACGAATGTAAGAAAGATGTACAGCAGATGGAGAAATAAAGTCTATGTTATTTAAGTTCCTTGGTCTGACTTTCTTCGTCATATCTTTTCCTTTTCTTCTTGTCCTCTGAGTGGGTTCGGTGGCTGCGTAGGGTAGCGTGATGTGAAGATCTTTTTTGGGAAGTATTTATTCTCTCTATGTCTGTCTGTCTGTTTTTTTGTGTTCTGTTTCTCTCTCTCTCTCTCTCTCTGTGTGTTTGTCTCTCTCTCTCTTTCTGTCTGTTTGCCTATCCCTCTCTCTCTCTGTTTCTGTCTGTCTGTCTCTCTCCTTTCTTCTCTCTCTCTCTCTGTATCTGTCTCTGTCTCTCTTTCTCTCTCTCTCTCTCTTTCTTGGAAGGTATTTTTCTCTCTCTCTCTCTCTCTCTCTCTCTCTCTCTCTCTCTCTCTCTCTCTCTCTCTCTCTCTCTCTGTCTGTCTCTTTCTCTCTCTCTTTCTCCCCACACCTCTGTTTTCATGTTATCAGGAGATTGTGTGGAATACTGTCAACCCTTTTTTGCCCAAGTGATTTACATGAACAATCCATGAGATATACTTGATATATGTTTTATTCATCTGAATCTCAATCGTCGTCCTCGTTTTTTGCATAAATATTCTCTTGTTGTCTTCTCTCTTTAGATTAATCAATCACTTAATTTCATTTGTGAAGGTCAATAGGAATCTTACTCGTCTAGTGACTAAAAATGATGTCTGGTCCTATTAACATTATTGCTATATTCGTCAGCTCTCCCATAGTGCTTTTTTCAAAGTCAAAATGATAATTACTCTTTCATAAAAAGCAAATGCAACGCGAATAATTATGCATATCTATATATTTTCAATGTTTATTTATTTTTATTTTTCATTAATTCATGGATTGTTTTATTTATTTTCTGCTCGAGAACTCGCTTGTTGTGGAGTTTATCATACGAGTCTGAAAAGGGGAAAATGGGGTACTTATTTTCCTCACTTGTCTTGTGGAGAAATTTCGTCCGTGGTTTGTGTGACAGAGGACTCGGAGGACCGTGAAAACATCCCTACAAATTCCCGAGGTCATCACACACATCACACCCGGGGAAGCTTCGTCACGAGATCTTTGGCCCGTCGTCCTCCGAGAAAGGATCTCCTCCACGCCGTCCACGACGACCGCGCCCAGCAAGTCGTCCTCGTAGTCGACCTCACCGAGAGAGGAAGTCGCTCATGTCCTCTTTTTTTGGCACGGAAGGTCAAGGATCTCGAGCTCGTCGCGACTGCCAGCTGGAGATCACGAACACGACCGCGTCCTTGATGGAGGCCCCACCCGGCGCCCATCAAGGACAAGGCGAGCGACACGAGGGCGGCGCGACGTGGCGGAGGCGCTGCGGCGTCGAAATCTGGCGGAGGAAGCTGGTGGCGAAGAGGTCGAGCATCCTTCGGGACCGGATCTCACGCGGCACTGTGCGGGGTGGGGGGCTGGGGGGGGGGGGTGTCTGCGTGTCGCCCAAGACCCACGAAGGTGCAGGAGGCCGGAATGGACGTGGAAGGGCACACAGCCTCACCGCCGGACGACCTCGCGACGGCAGCTCCTCAGTTGCACGTCGGCGATGTCGTCTGAGCTGCTCAACTCACGTCTGGCTCTCGACGTACGTGCATATTTGTGTATGAATCCTTGCTGGAATTTTGGAAATCCACTGCGTCATCTTTACGAAAAGAAGCAACGCAAAATGACGTGGAAAGGTATTAAACGAGAACGAATATCTCCACAATACAAGAGATGTATTTTAACCGGTTTCGATTATATCTTCTTCAGAAATACATGACGAAGATATTATCAAAACCGGTAAAATACATCTCTTGTAATGTGAAGATATTCGTTCCTATTCATATCTTTCCACATTTGTCAACATGAATACGGTTCAACGCCAAATTAGTTGGTTTTGCTCTAGAAATGATTGGGTAATTTGCGCTGGGTGCTGGAATTTCGCCGGACCCTAAATCGCGTGGCTAATCTTCAAGGGGCACGTATTATTTTCCGCGATTTATAATATTCGCGCTGAAAATCTTTCACAAAGGACTTGACTTATTTTTTCGAGGATTTTGATATTCGCGTGAATGATTTTTTTTTTTTATAATCCACATTTTTTCGCAGAGTTAGATCATCTCGTGAGTAATTTTTAAGGTATGTTTATCGCGGACCTTAAGATTAATGAATGTTCTTTCAAGTATGGATATTCTTGATTCTAAATTTCGAACACACTGACCCAGATCCGCGAGTCGTTTTGTGATCCCGATAACACGCCAAAATCAGTATCGTTAATTTAATTCATTTTTCATTAATAAAGTCACTTACTTTATGTTTCTTTTACTATTAAGTAATTCATTAAAGGCATTTTCGATACTATCGTGAGAAATATTTACAGTGCAGATATAATACACAACAAAAATACAACACAAATTAATTGTAATACTATTAGAGTTGTAACACACGCATACACACACACACACACACACACACACACACACACACACACACACACACACACACACACACAGGTTGTGGAATTCATGATGAACAGATTGCAACAGGAACAACGAAGGGAAGGGCAAGAAAACACTCGAATATGCCGAAGGCCTTTTCGCTATTGCTTCGTCAGGGCATACGTACCTCTTGTAGTGTATGCCCTGACGAAGCAATAGCGAAAAGGCCTTCGGCATATTCGAGTGTTTTCTTGCCCTTCCCTTCGTTGTTTCTGTTGCACACACACACACACACACACACACACATACATCCACACACACACACACAACACACACATACATCCACACACACACACACTCACACACACTCACATACACACAGACCCACCCACCCATCACACACACACACACACACACACCACAGACCCACCACAACACACACACACACACACACACACACATCCACACACACACACACACACACACACACACACACACACACACACACACACACACACACACACACAGACACACACAGAGACTCACCCCATCCACACACACACACACACAGAAACATTGCAAAGAGAAGAAGAAGAAGAAGAAGAAGAAGAAGAAGAAGAAGAAATAAGAAGAAGAAGAAGGAAAAAGGTTTCTCTCTCCCCTTCTCACCTTGGAATCACGCTAAACGTAACAGTTAATAGCCATCAACAATTCTCAAGATACCTGAGCTTTGCACGCGTAGAGAGAACAGCTGCGATAAGACAGCTATGAGGTATGTTAAGAATCAGCGTTCTGAACAACCAGCTGTGTAATTAACAGCTACGCGAGATAGAATGTCTGAATATCTCTCTCTTTTCTTTTTTCTTTTTTTCATTCTCTTTCTTTTTTCTGTTTTTTTTTCGCTCCCTGTCTCTCTCTCTCTCTTTCTCCTTCTCTCCTCCTTCCTTCCTCCATCCTCTTCCCTTCACTCACTCCCTTCTCCCTCCCCCCCCCCTCCTCCTCTTCACTCTCCTCCTCCCCCTTCTCTCCCTTCCTCCTTTCTTCCATCTTCTCCCCTCCCTTCCCTTCCTCCTCCCTCTTCCCCCTCCCTTTCTCCCTCCCCCCCTTCTCTCCCTACCCATTCCCCCCTCTCTCCTCCCTCCTCCCTCTAATAACCAGATTGCCATTAATATTCTGATATGGAATTTGAATTTGGGTGCAATAGATCATGGGTGCTCGTGACTTGGCCAGCTGTGTGGAAACTCCTGGCGATGCTGCAGGAAATATCTTACCAGCTGATAGAATGTGGGAGGTTGGAAGAAGAAGAAGAAGAGGAGGAGGAGGAGGAGGAGGAGAAGAAGAGGAAGAAGAGAAGAAGAAGAGAGGAGGAGGAGGAAGAAGAAGAAGAAGAAGAGAAGAAGAAAAGAAGAAGAAGAAGAAGAGGAAGAGGAAGAAGGAGAAATTGAAAGAAAAAAAGAGAAGACTGAAGAAGATGGAAGTAGAAGAAGAAGAAAAGAGAGAGAATAGTATGAACCACCTGACTGTGTGAGGTTGGAAGAAGAAGAAGAAGAAGAAAAAGGAGAAATTGAAAGTAAAGAAAAGAAATTGAAAGGAAAAAAGAGAGAGTAGTAAGAAACAGTTGAAGAAGAGATGAAAGTAGAAGAAGAAGAAGAAGAAAGGAGAAATTCAAAGAAAAAAAGAGAAAATAGCAAGAACCACCTGAATGCGTGAGGCTGGAAGAAGAAGAAAGAGAAATTGAAAAAAAAAAAATAGTAAGAAGTACAAGAAGAGATATAAGTAGAAGAAAAAAAGGAGAAATAAACAAAAAGAGGAAATATCAAGAAAGTGAAGAAGAGATGGAAGTAGAAGAATAAAAAAGTTGAAATTGAAAGAAAAAAAAAAGAGAAAATATTAAGTAAGTGAAGAAGAGAGGAGGAAGAGGAAAGAGGGAAGTAAGAACACACGCGAAGAACTGCAATAGCTATGTTGCAAGTCGACTGAACATTTCTTTAAGCTTAGAGGGAAAAAA